GGAGTGCCTGGGTTGCTGTTAAGGAACTTAATTTAAGTTACTATATTATCCCCCTATAATGGGAATCAAATGGAAAAGAAAATGGAAAATGAAATGGACACTGGGGGAATATCGGGATTTAGGAACTTAGATTAAGTTACTACATTGGGGAAACCCTATAAATGACTATTTAGGGTTTAGAGTTTAGGGGGGAAACCCTATTATTTACTATATATACCCATTATGGTAACTTGATTTAAGTTCCTTAACAACCCAGGTGCTTGGGGACCGGCGCTGTGCTTCAGTAGACATTGCCTTGGAGGCAAGCAGGGTGTAGGGTTTAGAACTAAGGATTTTAGGGTCTGGGGTTTGGGATTAAGGTTTTAAGGCTTTGAGGACATTATAGTCCCCAACGCAGAGTAAGAGATTATCCTTCTTTTGGTTACGGTGTTTTACACGAAGACTATTCTCCTGCTTGGCCCAGCCACCGCAACAACACTGCACGCCCTGACCTGCCAGGTGCGTGCGAGGGAGAGGGTTGGAAAAAACCTGGACTTTCTCAACACTAGGGGCTGGTAGGGGTCCCTTTAGGGACTAGAAGTAAACTATGTGGGTCCCACCATTTCGTACTACGACCTGAAACCTAAACCCTAAAACCAACACCCAACCCTAAACCCCAAACCCTCAACCCGAAACCCTTTATCTTAAACCCCAAGGCCTTGACCCTAAACTATCTACCCCTTCTGCGAGGTGGCGAAGAAGGTCGAGCATCTGGAGGTTGGGTGTTCCAAGTGTGGGAATTTGGGGTTTAGGGTTTGGGGATTAGGGATTAGATTTTTAGAGTTAAGGGTTTAGGTGTTAGGAAATAGGGTTCAGGGATTAGTAGAGGCATAAAGGTCTCTATAACATAAACTCTAGATGCATGATACCCCAATAATGGAGAATGCGTTGAAGAAAGGTCAAAAGAAATTGAAACTGGGATTATACGTTGGGGCTACACTTTTCTTTTCAAGGATGTAGGGGGTCCGAGAGACACAGGTACTGAAGTAGTTTGGAACATCTACAATGAAACGCCATAGAACGAAACGCTGAGCCCTGAATCCTGAGGCCTGAATCCTTGTGAACCGGGTATTTTCAGAAATCACAGAGACAACCCCAAATGCTGAATCCCAAGCCCTAAACCCTAAATCCTACACCTTAAACCTTAAACCCTGAATCCTGAACCCTAGACCCTAAATCCTAAACCCTGAACGTTCGCGAAAATACTAAGGTGGCTGACTGCCACGCATCGTCCCAACACGACAAGACCCGCATCTTCGGACTCATCATCGCATCACAAGGAGGGAGACCCTAAACTCTAGGGTTTAAGGGGGTCATTATAGGGGTCATATAGGGGCTATATAGGGAAT